TTACTTAGCTTAATTCTGCACCACATATTTTGGTCAGCTCACCAGAAACATTGAATTTATACAGCCAAATGATCTGGCAGTGAACAAATCTAATAGTAATGTTAGTGAAGTCTGTGGTCTTACTAAAACATTTAATCTCACAAAAGTAACAAACTCTGTTCTTGAGTCTCTTACTTTAGTATGTGTGTAGGACTGCATAGGATAATATCCCAATTATTGTAATTTGGATAATTAAGCACAAACTGAAGGGTGCTTCAAAAATTCAAATCCAAATAGCCTGTCTTTTCAGTTCTAGAGCAGCTGGCTGAGCTGACACCAAAGATCAGCACAAATAAGCCACAACAGGAAAAGAAGGTGAGCTCATTTTTACTATATGTGAGATCCTGGAGTTTCAGAAAATAGCCAAAGTAGACATGTGGTACTAAACAAAATTTTGTTTTAACAAATGCTCTTTTTGAGGAAGAAAAAAACCAAAATGGAATCGCACAAATGACCAGGGAACCAAAACCTCACTAACTCCAGCCATCAAATAACAAACCTTGAATTCCCTTCCTGCCTGCTGTCAGACCTCCAAGCCCCCTCTGACCATAGCTCTGGTGCAACAGGGCAGCATTTTGAAACTATGCGCAGAAAGTGGCCTCTTTATCACAGCTCTATCTCAAGTCTGTCCCCAGAACTCTGGATGCCTGAACACAAAGCAAAACATTTTTCCCTGAAATAGTCTTTGGTAAAACTCTTGTGGTGTTAAACTTCTGAAATAAGTTAAAATTATCACACTGAGAAATATAGTAAGTACACATGGAGAGAAAAAACAAAAATAAAACTAGATTTCACCCTTATTGTCCAGATTGTTATAGTCCTAAAATCCAAAAAACCATTGTGACATGGAGAATTATCCTGAATTCTGGATGCACTGCAAGGATCAGCATGTATAAATACATTATCAAGTGACTGTTTCAGAGTTCTCCTGTCCTATTTTTACAACTTGGAGGATCTCTTCAGATAGTACTTAAATATTGGACTTAAAGGATTTTGCCCATAATTTTAAGACTTACAAGCGGGTTGGCTCAGGAACCAGAGATAGACTCAGCAGTAATTAGCTATTATAATTAGCCTGCTCCACAGGAACTAACGGGCATTTTAATATCAGGTTTGTTCTCAAAGGAAAAAAAAACCAAAACATTTTTGCCAAGTAACAGTTATTACACAGCAGGAAAGTTGGCTAATTATTTATCTCAGTGGCATTGATCAAAATTATAAAAATAAAGAAAAGTCCTTGATTTTCCTGCATACTTTTCACATAACATATGCTAAACATCAGTATCAGGCATAACATCTTAAAGCCATTGAGGACGAGGATGTCAGCAAAAACAATAGTGTATCCATTGCCAGGAACTCTGATTCAATGTATTCCTATGTCTTCTATCCTCAGTATTCACACAAGATTAATTATATATGCTCCAGCTCCCCCCTTAGCTATTTCAGTTGAGGCTGGGTGCCTGAAGAAGTTCAGGGAAATTCAACTGGCAGAGGTATTAAAAAAGAATCCTTCTTGATAATATACTTATGTACGGAGAACTTTAATCTTAAAACGATCTTTAGATTTTTGTAGACACAGCTTTCTGGTCTAGAGTTGCCAAGTGTCTCCACAAACAACAATTCTTTCTCATAAATAAACAAGCATCTCTGTGAGAAAACAACTATCTCCTTTCTAGAAACTAGGAATCTAAAGCAGTGAATATACCCAAAGCTGAAGAGCAAGTTATTGTAAGAGTTCAGTAGTTCCCTGGCTTTCATCTGAAACCCAGATCAGTAGAGAAGTGCACACATGCATTCACTTCCCCAGGAATATTTGATCAAGTAAAACAAACAAAAAAGGCTTGCATTTTTCATGCCAAGTTCAATATAAACACTTGTGGCTATTACATGCACCCGTATTCTACTTCCTATGATAAAGCATGGCCAATATGAACTGTGATAAAAGAAATTTCTAAGGAACACTTGAAAAAGATTGGAATTTGAGGTTCTTGTTTAAAGAAAGTGTCTTCTCAGTCTCAAAAAATGAGATGTCACCCCAACAGGGATAATTAATGCAGTAAAATACAAATTCCTTGAAGATATTATAACATTTAATTATATGACCATATATTCACCAGATTTCAGCCTTAATCTGAAAGTGCTGTATTACTAATGTAGTTTTGCAAAGTTTGTTTAGAATAGATCATTCCATACATTTCCAGTCCAACTTCTTTCAGTTTCTAGGGAAGAAAAAGCACCCAAACCTTACTGAACTTCACAGAAAAGTCTGCATGTGTTATGGGAGGTGCACATGCCCCTGCTGTGCTCTCCACCACATCAGCCTCCCCTCCTATGTTTAAATTTGTGAACTCTTGTAGTCTTTATATTCTACACAAGTGTCAAAGTGACTTAAATTAATGCATACATGTATGTTGCGTATTTATGAGAACCAAGATAACTGCACAAGTATGTTTAATGCATGAGCCCTCCAAGGAATTTTCTAGGGGAAGTTTACACTCCTCCCAGCAAGTCAGGAATGTGTAATTTAGCAGCATCTAGCACAGGGCAGGCTAAAAACAAAACGAAACCCAACCTCCTCCCCCAAAAGCAATCCCTCACCTAAAGATTTTCAGATCTTGCATTCCATGTTATCAGAACTTCAGCCAACTTCTGAACAAATGTGTGATTTATTTTAAATACACTTACAATGCTGCTGAATCTAACTAATGTGCTGTCAGACAAAAATACTGTTGCTTTTTTTTCTGGAGCATACTGAAAATACTGTATGACAAACAAATCTCTACCATTGCTATCAGCATTTCCAGGCAACAGGAAATACCTCAGCTGGTAAATCAAACTAGTGTAACTTGAAGTGATGGGTACATTCTACTTTTAAGACAAAAGGCCACTTGGATTTGGTTTTTACAATAATGGAAAAGATAACATTTGTTCTGTTTTCCAAATCTGATCCTATAAGTAAAATTCAATATTTCCAAGTAGTTTACACTCTTGATTGGCACGGTCTCCAGCAAGCCTTGCTGCAGTTTCCTGTGCATTTAAAGAGTAGCTATCTCTGAGGGCTGTGACTGGAAACTGGTTGGAAGATGGGAAAAGGAGGCTAGGGGCTACAAATTCTTACTGTAAGCACATTAGAAGAGGCACAAGCAGCTTTCTTCTGCTAGATAGCAACTATCTAAATCTTCCATCGTTCTGTCAGGCCAATGAGAAAGCACTGGCACAGCCTGCAGCCTGTGCACGTGTGACTCCAGCTCTCGGTGTGTGAACAACCACAGAACCTGCAGTGTTACACAAGCAGTGCCAGGAGCACCCACCTAGGGGAAATTCCATTCGATGCAAATGTGCTCATTGCAGCCAATTCACTCCGGTCTCTTGGGAGGTACAAGCTCCAGCTGTAGCCTGCTTCATCCCATCTCTGGGCATCCCTTAATAACTAACAAGTTACAAGTTCCCACTATACCATGTCCCCACAGTAAGGGCACTCTTCTGCCTGTGTTCAACAAGATTTGTGATTACATAGTGAGACCTACCGCTCATATTGAAGTTTTCTATGACTTGACAATGGATGTAACAGTGCCTGGGTGGTGAGAGATGCACTGACAAATACATAGCAGAACCACATAAGGTTGTTAAGTTTTCATAAGAAACTATGTTACCAGAAAAAAAACAAACCCAGACAACTAATTTTACCTACATTTTTTTTCAGGCATTCACAGAGCACCTGTCAGGCTGACAACCCAGTGCCTGGCAAATAAAATCTTGGAACAAAAACCCAAAATAAATACAAAAATCTGTTCCTCATTCTCAGTGCCACAAAAAGAATTCGTATTTTTTTGTATTCATTTCATGACAATTGACCTGAAGAAGACCTGACACTTTTGATTTAGAGCAGACAGTGAGATGTCTACTGAAAAAAATAGTAAATAACTTCGTCATATACTAGTAATTTCAGACAGCGTATATACTGAAAATGAACAGAACAGCTTAAGTTTCATGGATGCATACAATCCAGTGAGCTGAACACACCACAAACAACAAGGCTGCTATTAAAGACAGTGGAAAGACTTTGATTATGGCCAAGAGTATCTGCCTTTATTTAAATTACCCTAAAACACTCCACTTAAAAAGATCTTTCAACACAGATCTAAATGCTCTTTTTCTAAGCTTCTGCCTGCTGGATCATTATCTTTGTTCTCTCATTATAAATTCTGCTAATTGCTTACACGCATGTTGCTCTCACAGGACACAGTACTAATGATTGGTGTGTGTAATACTTTAAGAACATGAACTAAGCAGCTCAGCTGTCATGGCATGCAATGTTTTTTCACGTCAGGAGTCTGTTTTGATGTCTTTTTAGAGTAAACAACAGTACTGCACAACTTCACATCAAAAATTTTCTTGTGCTGTTGTTTTCAGAGAAGCTAAAGTTCTTGTCAGTCCCTCCAAGTACAATGCATATAAATAATTTGACTATACTTAAGTACTACGACAGTCAGCAACAATTGCTTTGTGTACAGCAATTCCCCCTCAGTGAAGAATTAAGGATGTATTATAAGGGTAGAAGAATCTGAACTTAAATATTTGTTTATAGTGGTTATGGCAGGGATCCAAAGGTATTCAAGTTAATTTACAACATATTTAGGTAAACGATCTGCCTTTGAAGACAGCCAATTCTGTAAAGGCCTCTTGTAGATCTAAATCTGTTTCTTATTTCCTTTGCCCACCCCATCACCTTATTTAAGTACACTTCACAGTTGTGAAAGTTGATGGAGTGGCCTGGTATGGAAGCAGTTTACTCAAACAATACACAAAACATAGGTGGACAGTAACCACATACATCGTGCTTTGTAGTCTTTTCAGCCACAACTCAGAAATAACTTTATTCAGCAAATTAATCTAGAACAATCCCATTTGCAGACACACTTGTAGCCAGCCATTTGGACAAAAAGTAATTTCCCCTTTACCTCTCTTTCATGATGGCCAAGACCCTCCTCGGGATTTCTGAGATTGAGAACGTGCACCTCTTGGGGCAGGCCTGTTGTGCCGCGGCTTGCACAGCCAGACAAGACTGTAAAACTCTCCAACAAGGCATGGACTGGGTGTGAATTGTTAACAGGTGATAGGACACACTCATTTCGAGGCACAGGACCTGCAGAAGAAGAGAGAGATGCACATAATTTAGAGAAAAGAAAATCAATATAGAGATTGCATCTGCGAAACAGCCATCATCCTTTTCATCACAAAACCCATGGGAACACGAGAAGAGGCTTCATGTTCATTATCCACAAAATCAAGAAATTTATTTCTGTTGCCCTTTTAAGATCTCCTGAATATGCTAACTTATTGCTTCGTTTCTCTATGACAGTCTAAATTTGAAGTATGAACTCCAAAATGGAAGGTAATCATGTCTTTACCAGGGAGGCAACCAAGGATAAGACAGTAAACAGAAAAAAAAAAAAACAACCCAAGGGACAAAAATCAAAGCAGTGATAGTGGCAGGAGGAACTGGTTTGTCTTAGATGTGAACTATTTGTTTATGTCAAAAAAACCATTGTTATGTCTAAACACTGAAAAATGCAATGATGTATATATAACAATGAAAAGTTAATCTCTAGTATAAAGTAATTACACATCAGGAAGGATTTGGGTGAGCTGGATTTGTTGCTTTTGAAGCAGTGCTGATTTATAGTGAATGCTGTTCAAATTCATTGTACAAAACAGCAGGCAACTGTCACATGATAAATTGAAAAGTTTGTTTACTGAGTCTATTTTGTGTCTGACAGCAATTATCTATGCTGATAACAGATAGCTGGTCCAAAACTGAGTGTACACCCTTTCAAATAATCACCACAGCATGATGCAGTGCCACACTCTATACAGTACGTGAGACAGTGTGACGTGATTCAGCAAGATAGTACAAAAGCTGAAACATACAGAGCAGTTTACATTTAAACTATATCTCAGGAAACTAAAGCAAGACAAATATTTATGAAAAGCAACCTTGCTTTTCCAAAACAGCTCAAACCCACCCCTGACAGTAACAGATACAGTATGTTTTTGATTCGTAAGGTTACAGGAGAATGTAATTGACTTAACCACTAATTTGCACTGAAGTCACTCAGATAAGAACTAGACTCACATGAACCAGTCGAGTTCAAGGGCTGCAAAGCATAGAAGAGAAATAGAAGCATGACTTTCTCCCCCTCCCCCAGATACTGCACATCTGCAATTGAAGTAAAATGTTTATTTCAGAAAACATTCAACATTAAAGAAAATCCTAACCTGATCAAATGGCACAGCTCTGTCTGGTTTTGTGAAGTCTATACCCAGCTATTGTAGCACTAGAGATCATTTGACTTGGGTGTACACATATGCTTAATTGTATTAGCACTGACCCATAGTTGGCTGGCTAAAAAGACAGTTCACTCAAGATTCAGCTAGCAGCTGGCCATTTAGAAGTCAGAGTCCATCTTGAAACAGACTTCATCTGGAAAAAGCAAAGCCCCAGAGCACAGGGAGATTTCCACAGTGCCTTGGGCCACATGTGCCTTGTCCAGCCAGAGGGGCTGTTCCTGAAAGCCAATGGTGCACAGTACATATCCCGCCAGCTCCCACAGAACAGTATTTCTTAAAGGCAATGTACAAAGCATAAATTACACATGGCTGTGCTTGGGATAAAGAGGATAAACAAACTTTCTGCTTGCTATATGAAGAGTTCAGAGCAGCACTGACCACCAGATTGGAGGATTTGAGGTTTATGGTTTTTCAAAATTCCTTTTTAAGAATACATATTCCAAATAGGACCAGTTCCAGTAATGACATTCCATTTAAAAAAGAAAAAATCTATGAAAATTTGCCCTTTTTAAGAGTTGAAGAATATTTACTGTAACACAGCCAGCAGAGAGGCCTCATTTTCCTCGTGTACAAATGCTGATCAGTGAGTCTACTAATTAATTAGCCCAGCCACTGATGTGCAAGTCCTACAGCAGACTGCTTAATACAACCTGCACAAAAAGCATTTCTAAATCCATGAGCTTTCTTGGCTTGGGGAACAAACTGAGAGCCAAGGAGCACTACTTTGTTGAATCATTTATTGCAGACCAGAATGGGGTTGACATTTTTTAAGATGCTTCTATCCTAACAGACACAAAGAAAAGGTGAAAACCTCAGAAAGACAGAAATGGAGTTGCTGACAAAACCAACCATTTTCCTTCATGAAGCCTGCAGAGAGAGAGCGCTAAGACCTCCCTCTCAGCAGACGGATTCTCTCGTGAACATCTTTTTCCATCTATCCTCCACTCCAGCCTTTATTTGGACTGAACAATTTTGACATATTACAGGAGAAGACAACTGGATTTTCTCACCTGACTTCCTACAAGGACTCATCCCCATGAAGAAGACAGTGACTGGCACATTCAGGTTGCCCATATGTGCCTTCCTTGCTGGCACCTCAAGCGTGCCTTTAGAAAGCCATCCTACCAAGGCCCTCTGTTCTGCTCTATGTGCAAGATGGAAATACTCCCAGAGGGAGCAGAAGTTCATATCCTGGATAACCACACACAGCTGAGCTTATCTGTGGAGTGAAGGGCAGTGCAGGGCATGCCTGCCCTGCCTGTGCACGTCCCAGCCTCCCGCGGGAGCCCCGTGTCCCTCCCGCAGACCTGGAGCTGGGGCAGGGCTGCAAGCCCGTGCGCTCCCAGCGCGGCCACAGGCCCCCGGACACATGCTGGTCTCTGCCCCATCAGCCTGGGCACCGCTGCTGCCGGCTCTGCTCTGGAGGAAGGGGGGCACAGAGCTGCTGCGAGGTGCTCAGTATAATAAACTGATGGTTTTGGAGAGTTACTGCATTTGGTAAAGTTGCTTTCAGACCACTCGCACGAGCAACTGAGATGCAGTCCTTGGCTACCACTCATTAACACTTCTTTCTAGCAATACATACTGCATCCAGTGCCACTCTGAGGCACTGTCACTCCAGTGAGATCAGCAAGAGCTTCACTTTTTCAAATTGGCTGCTCTAGCTCTTCTTGGCACCCCCACAGGCCCCTCCTGCTTATCTCCTCTGACTGGAAAACTAGCTACTTCCCCAAAGTAGTTTAAATCCTACAAAGTGCATATTTACCACTCGTATAAAACTAACAGAAAGCTCTTTCTGTGACATTACTAATCTGACTGTTTATCACCTCCATACCACTGGTTTCTAACTGAAACCAACATGAAACCACAGGCTCCTCCTGCCTGGGCTTTATTATTCTGCTGCTCTGCCACGCAGCTACACCAGGATCAAGTTCTACCAGCTTCCTGCTCCAGTCCCACATCCTGTTCCTGCACCCTTACCTGTATCAGTGGCACCGACATCCTGCCAAAATTCACTGTCATCACTGCTTAAGGGCCAGCTCATCCAATTAAGGCATCACTATTGCCTCGTCACCTCCAAACATGTACATATAACTCTCTTGCACCTCACCCCACCCAACTGGCACTCAAAGAGTCAGCAGTCTCTTCCAGTTGTACATCCTAGGGCAGCTACAAGCTGTTAGTCCCTTCTCTGCTGAGAAGGTAGGTGCACACACAGCCATCGCTGGGCTTTTGTTTAACTGTGGACCCTGTATCCATTCAACCATGTTAGCAAATCCTGCCTCTTACCACAATCAAATTTTATTTGCTTAATGCCTGCAAAGCATTTTGAAGACAGAAAGCAGGTTAGACAGTTTTATAAGAATCACTTACTATTTGTTTTACGAGGGCAAAAATTCAGTGAATTTAGAATTCTATAGAATCATTTAGAATTTAATTATTTTCCACTTCCAGTTAATAAGACTATTTTAAAAGAAATCTTAATGCAGACCCAACCTTGTTTGATACTAACATCTGGAACATATTCAATACAATTTCAACATTCTTATTTCCCATATTATCCATGCTACTAATAAGTAACGTGTTCTGCTGTAAGAAAGTAGCAGCAGTGGGAGTAAGACACTAAAGCAGATACTGCAAGAACCCAAGACCAACACAAAACTGTGATGGATTTTATTCAAATAGTAAAGGCTAATATACTTTCTGTTGCATATCCATGGAGATTTCTACAGTGTTGTCAGCTGACAAGTGCGACCAGCTCCTGCAAATTGCATAAAACTCTGCTGGGGGCTCCATGGCACTTTAGCATGGTTCCCATAAGCCACACCAGAGAATACCAGCCACACCACTGGGACATAACACTCCCTAGAATAAGAACAGATTTATTCTAATTGATTTTTGAATGAAGGAATGACACAAATCTAGTCATACACAAAGACAAGAGATTCAAAATCCAGGATTGAGGAACACCAGAGATCTCTGTGCTATCAGGTAATTTAAATTACTGAAGATCCTGCTAGAATTCATCACTTTATATACTAAAAAGCAAGTCTTAGAGGAGGCCAACTATCCAAGCAGAGATTTCACTATGCCCAAATAACAGACTTCCAAGAAAGTTCTTTTGGAAAAGATTAATTTAAGGTCTTTTTTTGTTGTTGTTTTGTTTTGGTTTTTTTACATCAGCTAGTGATGATGAAAAAAAGAAGGAAGAGACAAGATCCTCAAAATTACTTTTAAAAGACAACAGTGTTCTGTAAAAACAAGAGGAGGGGAAGTAATTTTCTCTTGAACTGAAAAGCTTAAAATTCACTGCAGAGCACCTCAGCAGATTTGGTAATAACTTCTTGCTATAACCTTCACCACTAATTTCTACTCCACATGGAGTAATTGTTAACACCTACACAACATTCTTCTGAAAGACTTCTCATAAAAAGAAGCATTTATACCAAAAAATTACATTTAAAGATTGAGACAATGGAGAACCTACAGAGAACTGATGTCACTCAGAGACAAAATATAACTCATTACTACTTCTGTAGTATGGATGGCTCTGTAACAACTACTAAATTCCTTCCTGCGTACTTTCTCATAGGAGACACCTGGGAAGTCAAATCCCATGGTGACTGAAATGCTATAGATGATAATGAACAACCTCCATCATGAATACAAAAAGCAGCTCTTACTGCAGATGACCATGAAAAAACAGCTTTGCACTCCTAAGCAAGCACTTGAGCAAGATATCCCTGCTCAGGATCAGTCAGTTCTGGCAAGCAGCCTTGAGTCCTGAGAGATGGAAAAGACAAGATGAGATGGTAGGAAATATCACAGCTGCTTTGTGATGAGAGGCAGTGGCACAA